TCTGTGAACTGACTGTTGGGAGGATCCCATATTGCAAATTCCCCTTTGGAGACTTCGCTGACATTGCAGGGAGTGCAGGCTCCTAACCCAGGCACTGAGGTTAAGAATCAGGTATTTTGAACTGCCGTTTGACCTCAAAGAAAATCACCTGAAATTCAGGACTGTGTTAGGATTTGTTTATGCGCAGGCATGTCGTGTGGCTGGTTGCCCTTTTCAGAATCAAATAGGAAAATAGAGCTCTCTCCATAGGAATACAGTTTCTGAAGCACTCTGCTTTTGTAGGTTACTAATTTCATTAAGCAGGCACGTGGACTTTTTTTATATATTAATTTCAGGTTTGTTCACATTTAATTTTAGCTTCCTGTCTGTATCATGTGCTTGGAGCTTGAGGAGTAAATCTGCCTTTATATGGCAATGAGAAACTTTGTACTAATGAGGAAGAAAATGAGCATTAATTAAACTTGTGGTTACAGAATGGGCTGAGGCTCTGGAGTCCTGAAGCAGCAGCTAGATGGGTTACTTCATTACAGCCTAGAACAGGGAGCTGTGATGTGAATGGGAATGAGGAGACAATTAAGTCGCTCACCAACTGCAGAGCCGCCGAGACATTTAATTAGCCATAGGAGCTAATGCTCTAAAACCTGGAGTTTTCTGTGGATCTAAATACGCCAGGCAGGTTTCCAGTCAAATTGGACTTCTAAAGAGTGTCTTTAGGAGTGCAGGGAGAGTTGAGGATGTTGAAAAGACTGGAGAATAAACCTGCTCTTCACTGGGCTCTGCGCTGGAGAGGAGCTCTCCATCCTGTTGGATAGGATTAGTGGAATTACCTTGGGCTGAAAGCTGATGTGGCCACTGCTGTTGCCAGTATATGTAGATCCTGTGGTCTTCAGAGCGTCCCAGTATCCCCAAAAGAGATCAGTTGAGCTTTAAACCTCAGCCCTGTCTATTGCAATGGACTCATTTGTGGCTTATCAATGTAATTTTTGTCTTAATTAGACAGGACAGTCATTCCCTGCCTTCCTTGTGAGTTTTTTCCAGTGTTGCTTTTACTCCTAAATAACAGCCTTGCTAACCTTAGCAATGGTTTTGATTCTCTGAACTGCAGTTTCCTTTTGATTAAGTGTCTTCTGCTTGAGTCTTTAATGCATATTAATGAGTGCTAAGCAGTGCTTGACTTGAGTAATTTGTAGCTGGGATCTAAAAGCCCTTGGAAGCAATGCCTGGGGATGTCCCATTTAGGGAAATAGCGGGATATTACAGGGTCTTTGCTGCAGTTTGGTGCATTCCAAAGGCAAACAATTTTTCAATTAATTTATATTTTTTATTAGTCACAGGACACAGTCGCTGTTGCCATCATTATTTAGCAATATTCCCGTATTTGCTTTATTTTCAAGTTAAAAGTCCCAGAAAAGGAGGGGAAGAGGTAACAGCTCAGCGTTTTTTCCAGAACTGGAAGTCCTTTCCATGGAGATGCCCCATCCCACACCCAGTTCTGCATCACACAGTCCATGTGTGGCTGCAGGGTGTAGTGCTGCGGGAGCACCGCTAATCCCAAACTCCTGCAAGTACAGCAGTCCCAGATAGGTAACAAGCAGTATAGGACAGAAAAATGCTGTTGATGTATGCTGCTTTTAAGCTCTTCGTTTATGACAGTAACTACAGTTCTTCTGTTCAGAACTTGGGGAAACTGGTAATAGAAGGGCTTAATTCTGCTTTCACATCCCCTGGAGTGAATGGCCAGACAATGGCCCGAGAGCTTTCTGAAGTCATAGAATACCAGACTGGTTTGCGTTGGTAGGGACCTCAAAGCTCATCTGATTCCAACCCCCTGCCACGGGCAGGGACACCTTCTACTAGGCCAGGTTGCTCCAAACCCCATCCAGTCTGGCCCTGAACACTTCCACAGTTTCCTTGGGTGACCTGTACCAATTTATCACCACCCTCATTGTGAGCTTCTCAGTGGCTTTTTTGAAGCTGTTCTGAGTGATATCAGGACAAATGCATTAGGAAATTCATCTTGAGCTTTTCATGTTCCAAGCTCTTGGCAAAAAGATAACAAATCAGTCCTTGTAATTATCCTGCAAGACTGTTGTTCTGCTGGCTCAGAGGTGGAGAAATGGAAGTAAAGAGGTTAAATGTCTTGCTGAAAGCAGCAAGGAAATGTGTGGTGGAGACATTGAGGAGCCCCACATATTTCTTAATGAATCATTAATAACTGTGTGTATATTATTAGGCAGATGGCTTGAACCATGGATTGCTGTAGGAACTCTGTCTTGCCATTGGAATAATTTTCTTCTTAAAGTCTTAAACGGCCATTTTTTTCTTTTTTTTATTTCATAAGAACATTGTTGGCTAAATCAAGGACTATGTAGGATAGACAATATATAAAAATATGTAAATCTTTTACAGTTCAAACACAAATGGACTCCTTCTTAATAATTCTCTCCAAAAATAACTGATATATTTCTCAGAACTAAGGGAAAAAGAGAAATTCCAGTGTAGTCCACGATTAGGAGAAAAGAAATATTCAATCATGTTTGAAAGTTAAATTCCTTCCTTTCTACAATCCGATGGAATTAGGGAGGATACTGCCGTGGAAATGTGCAGCATGGTCTTGTGTCTATCCCAGAAGCAGTGTGTGAAATAGGGAACCAGCATTCAAGCATCTCTATTGTTTAGTCTTACAGCCTGTCCCAGGCTGTCGTCTTCATGATCTCAGCAAGGGGTCTTCACTCTGACCCAGATGTTTGCTTTTCCAAAAGGCCATCATGCCCTGGAAGCTAAAGCTCACCTATAAAAGTTGCTCTTCTGTCTAATCAGTTCAAGTGCTGACTGTAGAAGTTGCTTATCTGTAAACCTGAGGAGGAGATCTCAATTCCTCCAAACTCCCATCAGTGCTCCCTGCTGCATACAGTGTACAGCAGTGTCTCCCCCAGGATCCCAAAGTATGGTTTGCATTTTAAATCAAGACCTGGCATTGTCTTCTTACTTAACACTAGGTTTATAAATCCAGGAATACATCTGAGCATGTTCACAACCATGGAGCTCACTTGCAATGAGCAAAATCCCATTTTTTATTTCCTGACAGTCGAGCTCTGTGTGTATTTCTCCTGGGTCTACGCATGGTGTGTGGATTGCAGTCTGTGCAGCTGAGCATGCAAACTCTTGTTCCTTCTTGATCTTTAGTTGTGCATTTCTCATAAAAAGGCTTTAAAATGCCTGGATATAATATTTAAGATCCAGAAGAAGTGTGTGTACATACAATTAAACTATGCATTAATAGGAGAATAACACCAATTCTGAATTTTTCATATATTCCTGTTTACAGTAAAAGATCAGTTGCTGTCTCTGGGTTCAGGACGTATTTTCCTGCTTGTTTTAGCTTCCTTGAGTTGCTCAGCCTGTCTCACCTTTTTTGTGTCTGATGTGGAATCTAAATTAGATAAGAAGAAGCAGGACAGGATTTCAAATTCAGTTTCCTTTATACAGGCAGAATGGCATAGGTTTAAATTGCTTCGATGTAATTTTGCTTCTTTAATCCTTCCCTTTCAATCTGTTTTTGTGTACATTATATATATGAAATCTGGGACTGGAAATCTTGCCTAATGTAAGTTCAGATATGACAAATGAACCTGACATTTTTCCAAGGAGGGAACCAAAGAACATACTGTATTTATAGCAGTAGGAATATAGTTTGCTGCTTGTAGAAGAAAAAATATGTGTTGTATGAGAACTTCAGTGCTAGGATATGATAAGAGTGTTTAGATGATGCTTGTTTCAAGTGAAGGTACTGGGTTCAAAGGAGTCAAACTGGTTCTCCTGGAAGCTTGAAATGGGGCTTCACTCAACAGAGGATTTAGGCTCCCAGAAGCTCAGGTAGCAAGGTGATGTGTGTCAATGTCCAGATATTCTTCTGTGCCCAGTTTGAAAGTCTGGTGACTCCAGGATAATCAGTGAGCAGAATAGGAAAGAGCAGGATGAAGGAGCTTCTGAAGGTTGGTTCTGGGGCTTCTCTCAACAGTAATCTGAGCTATTTCTCTCACATGAAGAGTAAAACTTTCTGTTTACAAGCAAAGAGTTCATTAGTTTAAGTTCTCAAACACAGATATGCAAACACATGCAGAAAAATTGATTCAAGCCAAGCATCTCTGCAAGCCAGCTACTGGCTTCTGTGACCTTCTGCAGTGGGGCAGGATTGCAAGAGGAGGCAAATGCCTTGGACCAGGTGACTGAGACATTCCTCCTGCATGAAGATGCTGAAAAGGTGTTTTCATTTGAATGTCTTCAGTCTTTATGAGGGCTTCCCCTGAACACAGTGGGAATTGCTGGGGTGATGTTCCTTCAGAGTGCTTTGCAGAAATGCAGATTTCTCTTTTTTTTTCCATGCCAGGGTACCTGGTCCAGTCTGAATAAGTATTTATTTCATAGCAATGCACTACTGATACCTTTCCTGAACTAGTTGTGGCTAATTCTTCAGAGTATTTTGTAAAGCTGAACCCTTTTTGTCGAGGGGGAAATAGTCATAAAGCTCAGTTGCCTTCACGGAAGATGTGCTACTTTTCTGCCTTGCTTCTGTACACAAGGGCTGTGTTTTTTGGTTGTTGAACTGTCCATCAGGACCAGCTTATAGTGCTGAAGTGATCTTTTACTTAGCAGAGAGTAAACACTGGATCACCCTGGGCCTGACGGATAGCTAAAGTTGTAGTAACTTTCACTGTAGCTTTCTACTAATGGGGCAGGTCCTTAGACTTGCACTTCACTCCTGTGGTTTCAGGAGAAGTCTTTTCGGTTCAGGGTTGTACCTTTTGTCCTTTCTTGTCAAGTTGGAGAAATGATGCTTGGTTTTGCTGTAATAAAGGATTCACCTGGTTTCCTCTCTGCATCCTAATTGCTCTCTAGAGAGCACTAAAGTGTGCTTAAGCATATTGCAACTGTTTACTCACCACGTCTGCTGTACGTGCAGTAATGCAAAGTGGTCGATCTCTGCCCTGTCGCTGCAGGCTGGCATGATCCGCACAGACAAGGATGAGTTCTTCATTGAACCTCTGGAGAAGGGGGCCCAGGAGGAGGAGGAGGGAGGAGGCCGGACGCACGTGGTCTATCGCAGAGCAGCTGCCAAGAAGCAGCTTCCTATTGAGAATGTGGATACCCTGTATGAAGGTAAGGCAGAGATGTTAATGCCAGCTGATGTGTAGAGTGTAGCTGAAGGCACGTGGCCATCATGATCTGCTGTCTCTGGCTTTTTATCCTTGAAAATGGAAATGTGTTCTTCTCCCACTGTAAATGAAAAGGTAGGGGAGTGCTAAGCAAGCACTGCAGCAGTCAAAACCATCTCCGGGATGGTGGAAGTGTCCTGTGTCCTGCTGAGTCCTCAAGTCAGAGCAGAACAAGGGGATGGTGCATGAGGTGCTTCTGCCTACTAGGGACCAGTTGAAAAGACTGTGTTGGAAGGCTGCGGCAAGGATACCAAAGCTGATGTGGTACACAGGCTTCTCACTGACAGTGTCTTCACTGGGCTGGATTTAATCCCAGCAAGAAAATAATGGTATCTTCAGATATGGACACAAACTTTCTTGCTTTATTTATGTGTTTCCAAGTGTGGAATTTAATGTTCTTGGCCTTTTGGCTGAGATCGAATGTAGTATAGCATAGTACTAAGCATGTGATAGACAGTGATGGAGTAACTGGAGCTAAACATAACCACCTGTTCTATGTAGTATTTTCTATTCCTGTGGTAACTGCTTGGATGTTGCACCTTGTTTTCTGAGTAAACAAGGGATGCAAATCTGCTAAGTGGATGTTTTGACAGCCGGTGTTAACACTGAGATTAACTGGGTCATTTGAGTGGAAACAGCAAAATAGCTCCATTTTTGTTCCAACTGTGTCTACCAAACTGCAGAGTTATTTGCCACTCATACCCTAGTATTATCTTCTGTCAGTATAATATGTTTTCAAGTATAATGCGATGTGTTAGATTGTCCTTTGTAGAAATCTTCCCAGTGATCCCCATCCCTCTACTATGCTACCTTAAGCATTTTCAAAAGATAATGAGCATGGCAACTGCTGTAAAAATTCTACTCTTGCATACAGCAATCCCCAGAAACTGCTTGAAGGAACAGAGCCACAGGGATGAGGCACTGAAATTAGGGCCAAGTGAGCCATATACGTTTCTCAATGTGAAGCTGAAATGGGGTAAGAGAAGGTTGCAAGCAAGAGCATTCACCTATTTTTTCCCCACTTTGGCCATCAAAACAACCCATGAATTTTGTGGCTGACACAGTGCTCTGCTGGGCTCTTCTGGTTGCCTTCTACTTGTTATGGAGCAGAGCTGGGGAACACAGGAGTCAGCACCAAAATCTCAGGTTCATAGGATGGAAGCTGCTCTGTTAGTAGATGTTTATAAAATTATTGCAGTGTTGGAAAATATCATCCAGTCACTGTGTTTCCTCTTAAACAAAAGAGACTTGATTTTATTCACACCTTATGGCAGTATTTTTGTTTTGGGATGGTAAATATTCCTCAGGAGTAGGAGTCTGGTACACAGAAAAAGCATAAACTGTGCACCAGCTCCAGTTATTGGCATGTGGTACCTGCTGGGGGAAGGCTCTGACAGCAGGGGCTGAAAACACCTCTCTGAAATGCAGCTCTGTGCTGCCTGGCTTCTCGTGGAGCTACTCAGTGGCTGCCCACCGTGACTGGCAGCAAAGCTACATGCTGTGTGTGATGCCACCAGGCCTCTGCATCTGTCACCTCGCTGGAGGGCTGAACCTTGCAGGCTCTGGTACAAAGGCACAAGGTAATAATAGCCAACAGCCAGTACTGTGGGATTAAAGAGCAAAAGCCAGGCTGAACTCATGCAGGTCGGGCTGAGATGTAGCACCGACCATGTCTGGAACAGCAGGTGTTGGTGGTAGGGAGGAATAGCTGTGATTTTTCATATTTCAGATTTAAAAATAAGGAAGAAATGGTGAGAGGAGCAATATTCCCCTCCACCCACCCTCTTTTGATTTGTGAAATTGATTAAAGATTAATTTTTATTTTGGAAGAAACCCGACTGTACTATACGGGCTTTTCCCTCCATGAAATTCTCTTTGCCTTTAACCAGAAACGTGAGCATCCACTTCAAAACTGGTCTGTTCTCCTCTATCTTTTATTAAACCTGGCTTCCCACCTCTGCTCTGCTCGAGGCAACAGGCATGGAAAGGACACGCTTTCAAAAACTGTAATTTTATTTCCCAGTTTGTCTTTTTCAGGAATGCATCTAGTTTTGGTTAACAAACGTCAAAATATTTAGTGACTGGGTGTTAAGCTCATTGTGCTGCTGTTTCCATAGTGCTCTCCATTAATCAATGGGCTTATTTGGGAAATACTTAGTAGGGCCCTTTCAGCATACTGTATCCATTTAAAAAAATGAGGTTAACCAAGAGCACTCCCCCTCTTCCACCATCCCTGGAGACATCTGCATTGTTGCCAAGTCCCCTAAATTTACATGCGATGAATTGTAACACTTGCTCTATTTTTAAAGGTCCAGCCTCCAGGAATCTTATGAATATGTGATGATGATTTTTTTTTTTTTCCTAGGTGAGCTTCTGTCTCTTTTAACTGTTGATAAGAACTTTGCAGTTTCTGACTGTGTAAACATTTTGAAGTAGCAACACAAAGTATAGAGTGTTCCATAATTTTTAAGACGGCATCTTTCAAAGTCCCATGATATGTTAATTTAATCCCATGATTTGGGAGGGGATTGTGAGTCATAATTTTTGAATGTTTGGGTTTGGATAGATAGATACAAATTCCTTACAACTATCCCTATCTCTGGCTCTCTTCTCATGAGGAACAGGACAAACTGTTCTCTCTCCAGTGAAACAGGGTGAAGGAATTGAAAGCTCCATGAACTTGGAGTTGGGTGGGTCAGTCGTCATTTCAAGGACTTGGGGTTTGCACAGGGGTTGCATGGGATCTTGCATGGCACAAGGGTGTTGGGATTTACTCCCACCATCAGCTGCTCTGTTGGGATATTGCTGTTAGGGAAATCTCTCCAGGTTCTCCCGTGCTCCTTGTGGAGCTGGGTCTGTGGAGCAGAAGAACCCAGATGGGCGCATGAGACCCTCCTTGTTTTAAGTTTAATTATTCTCGTAAGGAACATATATGGGGACATAGTCTCCTAAATGCTGTTCTTCTGGATGGTGGTTTGTTGGAGCTCTCAGTGCCCTGAGTCAGTGTACGTGCCCCGATGTCTGCTTAGGCAGAGAGCTGCAGGACAGTGGGAGAGAGGTCCCTGCAGCTGATCTTCTCCAAAGGCAACTAGGAATATCCATTGACCAGTTGTGAGGGTAGATTCATGCATAAAGGGGAAAAAAAAAGCATTTTCCCAACCGTGGAAGTAAGTTCTAGGTTGTGCTGACAGATACAGTGAGGTGGGTCTGACAGCAGGGTTTTTCTAGCATTTTCTATATGCTACAACCTGATCTAGTGGAAGGTGTCGCTGCCTGTGGCAGAGGGCTAGAACTAGCTGAGCTTTAAGGTCCTTTCCAACCCAAACCATTCCATGATTCAATGATTCTATTATCTATCATTTATATCACAGTAAGGGAAATTACGATTTTATGCCATCTGTTTAAAAAGTATGAACAAACAAACCGAACAACCTCCTAAACCCCGGGGAGCTCAAGGTATGCATCTTCTTTTATGAAGGCTCTGCTGACGTGCTGGGTTTTAAGAAGTGGAATGTGCTGGGAAAGGACGGACGTGAATCAGGTCTGATTTCAGACCCTGCCAGGTTTGCTTCTGCGTTTACATAAATGCTATCAGATCTTGGGTAAAGTAAGCACTTGTTTTGGCAGTGTGAATCATTGTGTTTTGACTGGTGTAGGATTATCTGGTGTTTGCAAGAATCACAGGGTAAAGGGTGCAATATTTCTACTTGTTTTTCCCCTCTCAAACAGTACTATTTGTTAATATACTGGAAAAGTGTAAGCATCATATTTCAGGCAACTAATAATCTGCAGCAGAGTAGTGCGATGAAAGTCTGTGCGAGCTCACTGCAGATTAGGCTTAATTGTGTTGGAAAGAGAAATATTTTCATGTAGTGGTTAATGTATTGTAGGTATGGTAGGAATAAACCCTATTTCTTTTTCTGGCAACTGCTTTTACTGCTTGCACTCATATTACAATTTATCTGCCTCTAGATAAAAATAAGCAACATGTTGAAAATATTTGAATATTTCCAGTTGAATTCCTTCTTACGAAGATGAGAAATGTTGCTTGACAGCAGTAAAACTTCCTACATGAGAGAGCTAGAATTAAACAGGCAAGTTAGAGGAGGTTGTTTTTTCTTGAAACTGCTGGGTTTTTGCTTAAATGTTCTTTAGATCTTAAGTGAAGAGATGGCAAGTATTTAATTAATGGGTATGATGAGGTCTGGAAAACCAGCTTGATTTTTGCCTCTAAAGACAATCTGATTATCAGGCTTATAAGCTTTAATGTCACATTTCCCCAGCTCAATTATGGTGTCTGTTATGTTGATCAACTGAAAGGAAGTGATTATGCTAAAACTTCCTTAAGGTTTTCCTTCTCCCTCAAAATCATTGTCTAAATACGCTGCTCAGAGTTTTATTGTATTGCTTGAGTGATGAGAAACAGAAACTCAGCTTTAGTTGACAGTTTTATTTACTGCACAGATGAAAGATGACCTTAGCCCAGAACAGTTTATTACTGAGGAAGACAGCAAGGTAACTCCAAATGTGCTTAAACCAGGCAGACAGTTGTTTCTGTAACTGCTAATTAAATCCCTTGGAATGGCCAAACCCAGTATGATGCAAGTCCCATCACGAATGTGCTCTGGGCAGGTGGGATGGACAGACTCACAGGCTCCCAGCCTCTGCTGAAGACTCATGACTCTTTCCCACAGCAATACCTGGGTTTGCTTTTGGTCAGACTTTCAGAGGGTGGTGCTTGATGCTGGAAGATGTGATCGTTTTGTGTGACCCCCTGATGTACTTCTTGGGGCAAAACCCATCATCTTTATGTTGTGTTTTTTAACCGTGTTTGTTTTAGTTTTACTACTCTCTCCTTTCTTTATGTGGAGGGTGGGTAACATCCCCCCAGCCATAAACACTACCAAAAAGTCAGGTAAAAGGACAGAAACAAGTTGCTGTTTC